ACACTGTGTCACAGGTCCTACAAACAGCTCTGTACACAGTACAACAGGGGTGCAAAAGAACAAACTTGTCTATCAATCCAAATAAGACAGTAATTATACCCTTTATTAGGAAGAGGGATATAAAGGGGCTTAAGGAACCAATCCTCTTCAGTAAAGCGATCCGGCTATACAGTGAAGTCAAGTACCTTGGAATATCATTAGACAAGGGGCTGACATGGGAAAAACAGCTGGAGAAGGCTATTAACACTTTACGGACCAGACGCATGATATCAGGCTTTTAGGACACGTTAGGTTGTAACACACTATACCTTACTCTGGTACCATGCAACTGCAACGAATACTGTGTAACAAATCTTTGGAATATATGCTAGGTATTCAGTAACTTGACCTGGCTGGCTAGGGTCCCTACTCCAAAAGAAAATAAACTTTGCCCCTTTCAGCTGTTTATGTACCAGGCAGGAAGTTAGTAGAGGGGAATATGTTTCAGGGACAAAGTGGTTGAAGGCAAAGCAATCTCTCTGACTTGTTTTCTGATGAGCTCTCTGATGTGCCTTGTGGAGGAGTGACTCACACAGTGGAAGTGACAGGGGTCAACAAATAATTGTGGCCACAGATAATAAAAGTGAAAGTTGCCTTCTGGCAGATCAGGCAGATCTAAGCAAATGGCAAAGGATGGCCTGCTTGGAAATTACGAGAGCAATGAGAACAGCTCCAACAGTTACAATGGAAATCCTACTAGGACTCCCCCACTGCATCTGCAGATGGAAGCAGAGGCCAAGTTAAGAAATTGCAGATTACATTGCAATGATCAATGGAGACCTAAATCCGAAGGTTTTGGACATGCATAGATGATTCAGGATATGAAAAAAGAATCCATCCTACAGATAGAAGTCTGGTAAAATTATACCAAAACATGTCTATGATAAACCCTTCAAGATCAGATTTCCTGATAGAAGAGAATGGAAAGAGGGGTTTCAACCTGACAGAAAGGGGGGGCCAATATGGTATACAGATGGTTCCAAGACAAATAAAGGCACTGGACCTGGGGTGTATTGTGATGGAACAGGGCAGAAATGTAGTTTCGGCCTTGGTCAGTACACAACAGTATTCCAGGCAGAAGTGTATGCCATTAAGGCATGCGCAGTTGAGAATTTAGATAGAAACTATAAAAATAGGAACATGTATATTCTATCAGATAGTCAAGCTGCAATTAAAGCGCTTGGTACACACCAAATCACNTAAGTCTGTGTCTGACTCTGGTTCTGCCACCACCATCTGGTCTGTAGCCCAGGCCTTTGCCACATTCATCAGAAATGCTTTGTATTTCAATTTTGAATCAGGGTTTAGATTTTTGTGATTTTTTTTAGATTTTTGCTGTCCCCACAATGTTACTGCCCTCATTTTCGTTGGAGCTACTGTCACTTTTACTGTCTGTGGCCACAATTCTTTGTTGTCCCCTGTCACTGCCACTGCCTGAGTTACCATCACTACGCGGCTCACAAGGTACGTAAGCTAGCTCATCGGAGAAGAATTCATCCTTGATCCATATTCCACTACTAACTTACTGGCTGGTACATACAGATTGAAGACTGGCAAAAGGCATTTTCCTTTGGAATGGGTTATGATAAGAGCGAGGTCATGTTACTGAATACTAAGCGAACATTCCTGTGCAGTAATCATGCAGCTGCATGGCAAAAGAGCAAGGTATAGCGTGTTGCAACCTAACGGGTCATAAAATCATATCATGCGACCAGTCCTTCGTGTATTAACAAGGCATACATGGCCTTCTGGACATTCAGAGGCACGTTTGGAAAGACCTGGGGACTGAAGCCAAAGGTGGTATATTAGATATACACTGAGACAGTAAGATCAATAATCACCTATGCCGCCTAGAGTTAAGCTCAAAACAAGTCAGGCAGATCTAAGCAAATGGCAAAGGATGGCCTGCTTGGAAATTACGAGAGCAATGAGAACAGCTCCAACAGTTACAATGGAAATCCTACTAGGACTCCCCCACTGCATCTGCAGATGGAAGCAGAGGCCAAGTTAAGAAATTGCAGATTACATTGCAATGATCAATGGAGACCTAAATCCGAAGGTTTTGGACATGCATAGATGATTCAGGATATGAAAAAAGAATCCATCCTACAGATAGAAGTCTGGTAAAATTATACCAAAACATGTCTATGATAAACCCTTCAAGATCAGATTTCCTGATAGAAGAGAATGGAAAGAGGGGTTTCAACCTGACAGAAAGGGGGGGCCAATATGGTATACAGATGGTTCCAAGACAAATAAAGGCACTGGACCTGGGGTGTATTGTGATGGAACAGGGCAGAAATGTAGTTTCGGCCTTGGTCAGTACACAACAGTATTCCAGGCAGAAGTGTATGCCATTAAGGCATGCGCAGTTGAGAATTTAGATAGAAACTATAAAAATAGGAACATGTATATTCTATCAGATAGTCAAGCTGCAATTAAAGCGCTTGGTACACACCAAATCACTTTAAAATTTGTATGGGACTGCCACCAATCCCTCATACAACTGGCCAGACATAACAGAGTTCAACCAATATGGGTGCCAGGTCATGAGGGTATTGCTGGGAATGAAACCGCAGATCAGCTGGAAAGAACAGGATCTGAACATCCCTTTACAGGACCTGACCCAGCTTGCGGCATCTCAGTTGGAGTTGCCAAGGAAGCAATCAGGGACTGGACAAATAGAAATCATAAAAAACACTGGGAATCCACAATCGGATTCAAACAGGCAAAGGGATTTATATCAGGGCCCTCTTCCAGAAGAACAAAGGACCTGTTGAAATTAAACAGAGATCAATTAAGATGGGTGGTAGGATTACTTACCGGACACTGCCACCTAAAAGGACACCTTTTCAAACTGGGACTGGCAGATGACTCAACCTGTGAAAGGTGCTTACAAGAAGACGAATCAGCCACAAATATCCTATGTGACTGTGAGGCCATAGCTTACTTAAGATTTCGTCATCTGGGTCAGTTCTTCATGGAACCAAGTGACTTTTATGACACCCCCATAAATAAAATGAAGCATTAATAAAGGGTTAATCCAAATGGGAAGCATAATAGATCACTGAAGGTCGCAGTGTGAGGTCCGGATTTTATGGCCAACCCCTCACACACATAACAGCCTAGAACTTGCTAAGGAAGTACAAATACAGTACACACTGCAGTAAGAAATGTCTGTTATCAATGAGGCAGCCAGAGCTGTAGTAGGTCACAGTGAAATGTTGCAATAATCAAACTTGTGAGTGTGTGTTAGGCTTGAGGTAGTTTTATCAGTCAGCTTCTGTGATCATGTTTCATTTCTAAACACCAGATGCTGGTCAGGAATGCATACAGTGAATGCGCATGAGTCAGACGTACCTTTGTGATCACGTACTCAGAACTGAAATGCATGTCAATGGCGACACTGGCATACTTTTTGAGAATTAAGCCAAAAGTACAGAATTTTACTAAATATATATATACTTTAATGTAACAGATACATAAACGAAAATATAGATATATGACCTCTGATAATTGGTCTTTCTTAGACTTTTCGTTTATATCAACACATAGCTGAGATATTAAATTTTTAAAAGGGAGCAACAATTATAAAATTTAATGCCAGAGTAACAAATTTAAATGTCACCCTGCAGGAGAGATAAGAATAGGGAATACATACTTGACTGGTTAAATGTGCACAGGAGAATTCCTGGGTTATTCTGTACAGCATTTATGTCCTCCCTCAAGGAATTACTGTTAAGTATAAATACCCAAAAGCCATTTAATTCCGGTCTCTTCATATTTTCTAGAACTTTTCTGATGGCACTGTCTAGAGAAATATTAAAAAATAGTGGGTAGAAAGCCTCATGCCAAATATATTCTAATAAAAAAAAAAAGTTTCTTTGATGATCCAAAGCATTATATGATAACTGAAACAATGCCTTTTTTAATCTCTAAACAGATGATGCAGCAATCCATTATACTCCAGTTTTTCCTCTAGTTTTTGTTGAATGCAAAACATATGAACAATCGGTAGATGGAATCGAGAGATAATTATGAACAATTTCAATCACAAACAATGTTATTCATGCCAGTTCAAGTGTCTTGTAGTAACAAAATATTTTATCCATTCAAGCAGCAATCCATAAGCATTTACTACTACTTACATCTTGCATTCACCACATAAATACCTTGTTACACTGTGTTATTGGCACTTCTGTCTTCAAGGGCATCACAATTATTTTCATTTCAAAAAAATTCACTTATTATTCAAAGTATTCTGAATTACTGCATTTCAATACTATAAAATGATAGGTTTTGAAAAGTATATAATGTAAAACGTATTGTGACATGAGGGCTCAAAGCCAGAATTGTGGAGCCAGAAGAGATGGCCACTGCCACGGAACGTCTCTGTAAACACGTTTCCATGCCAACAGAATCATGTGACAGCCACAACAAAAGAAGAGCTGTTGGAGAAGGTTTCTTTTATGCTGTCCATCCTGAGGTTATATACCAGAGACTGAAATGAAACTACAACCATAGTGGTTAGGAGTCCAGTTGCAAGAAAGCTACCAGCAAGACAAGAGCCATGGAAGTTGAGAAATCTCTGGTGTTCAGAGCTGTTACCAAGCAGCACACAGCAGAGATATAGAAGACTTAGTGTGTGTGCAGCGAGTGTGTGAACTCATGATAGCGCTAGAATTAATTGTAGCTGCGTGTTATGAGAGTCCAATAAATTGAATTACCAATCCAAACCCCATGTCTAGTCACTAACATGTGACAGTATTATTCAAATATTTTTAACACCTCATAAAATGATTATTACTAGCAGTTCAAACAAAGTTTTAAATTGGGTGCATAATTCTGAATTTAACTAGTAAACAATTTACAAATGCTACAAAAATGAAATCTAATACAACAAAATATGGTGTTAAATTGTCTGCAGTATGTAATGATACAGGTTATATACGATCACTTACTTGGCATTTCAGGAGGTGTTTCCTTTTTTACATATTTTCCAACAACACCTTCCTTTATTGTCCTCAAGTCCTTCTTTCTGGATAGCATTTTTAAGGCTTTATTAAAGAATAATGATGAAAATATGTACTGTAAGAGACAGCTGGATTTTGTGAACTCCTACTTAGAGAACTTGATGACTAGCATAGCACCAACAAGCATACTGTCCATTCACCAGTGTTTTGGAGCATAAAGTTCTGAAAAAAAAAATAATGCAGTACTGCAGGTCCCAAACATGTAAATCTTTATAACTACAGCTTACATATGATGCAGACTCGCATGGAAAGTCATGCACCACATGTCTATGTATAAAGACATAAGATTCAACACTGTTAACCAAGAGCTCTGTGGTGAATGTGGGTAAGCTACCTCCTCTCTCTTGGAAATCCAACATAAGCACTATTGGAATGTTCGTATTCATTGAACTACAAGGGAAAACATTACATATTGACAGGTGTTGGGGTTTGTGCATGACTTATAGGGTGGTTTTGGATTGGCCGATTGGATTTATTGACACCTTATACATTCAACTAGTAACTACAATACAGCACTATCACTGATCTACACACTCTACAATCCACTGTTACACAAACACTTGGATTCTCAGTCTATTACACTCTCCAATAGTAGTTTCCTGGCAATGGATTCATAACAGTCTCACTGTAACTTCAAATCACACATGAAGTCATCTTTGCACAGTCCAATTCCTTTCTTCCCATTTTTTCTCAATTATTCTGTCAACTGCCAACTCTCTCAATTATATTCTCTGCTGCGACTGGTAACTCCACAACTTGACTCAATTTTCATTCTAGCTGTGTGAGATCCTCGTTACATAGCCTCCTGGAGGACCCACACAAAACAATACTTCCTCCACTGTTGCATGTTGATTCACTGCTATAGAGATGTGTTTACCCACACAGTTGCATAGCAAATAGTGTGATGAGAACCCACAGAGAATGTAACACCTCTTCTATTGTTGCATGACCTAACAAGATATGTGACGCATTCCTCTGCTGTGTGTATGGATGATTACCTAGCAACGGTTGTTTCTCTGCCTCCACAGTTCTTACTTTAAGCAAATACGCCACAATACTGTTAAGTTTGACACTTGATATTCTGAAGTCATAAGTCTGCTTAAACTGCAATTCTGTCACAAGAATAACTTAATGATAGTTTACTTTTTCATTACATGGAAAACAATGGTCATTAAAATTCTGCAGTATCTGCCTTCTTAGTGCTATAATCGCGCACCAAAACAAAAGTTCCAGAAATGTCTCAACTGAAGGGAAGAAAGAAAAGAACTTCAGTCCATTGAAGCACCACTCTCTTCTAATTTCTCTCTCGTCTTCACAATCAGTCTTGTTTCCAGAAACTTGAATGATTCACTCGTCTAAAACCTGGTAACTCATTGAGGGACAGAAGAATGGGTAAATTTCAAGTATATGATTCCATTATTATGAGTTTTCTTTAAGAACTCTGATTAAACAAAAAGTGTTATAAAAGAAGAAACAGTAATGCACCATATAAAGGTTAACCTGTAGTTCATTTATTTTAAGAACAGAGCCTATTACTACCAAGAAGTTTTCATGCTGAACACTTATTAAAAATACCTCAGCTTCTGCCATCTTTCATTTGCATAACAGCAAAAGCATTACAAATCCAAAATTAAAGTAATTTCTAATGACATAAATAAGTTTAAAAACAATTTAAAGGAATTTCTTTATTTAAACTCTTTTTATACACTTGATGAATATTTTAAGAGATAATGATTATACAACTAATGTTTTCTAATCTAACTATTTGGATGATATGGCCTACCAGTATGTGGAATGGCAAGTTGTGAATTTGACAGTGGTTTTCCCGCAACCTGTGTGTGTTATCCTGACAACCTGGGCTGTCTGTACGAGGCCTGATTGTATGTTTTATTGGACTAGGGACAAATGATATGTAGTCATCATGAAATTTTAATTTTGCAATTTTATAAATGTAATGTTTTTATATCTTGGATTTGTTATATATGTATAAGATATTCTGTTACTTTTGATGAAAACTTTTATCTTAAATTTTAATCAATGATAAATTTGAATGTATTATGCTAGAGACAAATTGTATTATGATGTAAACATGCATTGTCTTATTTTATATGCCTTCTTGACAATTGCTTATGAGTATTAACAAGATAAATTGACACAATTCTGTTTTTAAGGCTTTTGCCTACTATAGATGTAACGGAATAAGGAAATAATAATAATAACAATAATAATGTTTTTATTTATTTTCCTGCTGAATTTCATTTCCTGTTATTTGACTCTTGGATGAACACTCTCTTTCTTAAGCCTTCAAAATTCAAGTTTTCCTTGGTTTCTTAAAATTGCATCAACATGGCATGGAGTTTATTATTATTTTACAACACAGCTTTCCATTAATAATGAAATGTATGTTTTTGACATGTACAGCACTGATGTTACCTACAGGTAACTTTTCTATCAGTAACAGACCACTAACTACTTCATAAATATGCTTCTGAGCCAAAAGGCACTGTTTGGAAAAGGTGAAGTCTGGCAGCGATTTCAGAGCAGACAATAGCCCTAACGTAACCTACATCACTCCTCTAAATATATTGTCTACAGCATCAATTTCTCCCACTCATAAAAGTGCTAGATTGTTTTCTTTAAAACTGAACAAAATGATATAAAGCAAGCTTTTAATAAGGACAGTACTGTAGGCTACAAAACAACATCTGCAGTCTAATCTTCCTGGCATTACATACGCTTTCACTACTTATCTCTTAAGTCATGCATAAATAAATCAACGTATGATTGGTAACGTTTCACAAACTTCATGTAAAATTACGCACAGTACCAATCCACGTACTGTTTAAAAAAGTTTTGATTTTGGGAGAGACATAAGTTTAAATTAATATTGTGTATTATATGAGTACATGTTGCTGCTGTTATACTTTGAAGATACTTCCACATATTGTATTTCTGTACTTTAAAGTAACCAACTATAACTTGCAAATATTCAATCTGAATATTTTTTTCTAATAGGAAACCATATTTCAATCGAATGACTGCTACCAGCAAGTACACATACGTTTTTCCTATACACCTTGGAATTGGTTCTCCATTCAATGTATACATATCCCCACATTTTCCTGTCAAGCCACCACCTACAAGCTGCAACTACCTGTTTTTGTGTGTGTGTGTGTGTGTGTCTGTTTGTGTGTGTGCAACACCGGTAACACCTAACCTTCCCTCCTTCCTACGGTTCCTACCTTTCACTTCACGTCGCGCCATATCTTACTAAAACTATTCTGTGACATTTTCTTCACGGATCAGACACTCATCAATTCACTTCTGCTTCTTCATGACGTCCATGACCATGACCTTCATGATGCTCCTGAGATATCAAAGAAATTGCGACATTTATTGTGAATACTTGACACCCATATTTCTTCTTCCCTACTACTTTGTGATCCGCGGTAGCGTAGTTGGTTGAGGGGCTATGCTACAAGCCGGAAGGTCATTGGATTTTTTTCTTCAATTGACCTAATCCTTCTAGCCGCACTATGGAACTGGGGTTAACCCAGCCTCTAACAGAAATGAGCGGAAATGCGTACCAGGAATTAATTATATAATTTTCCTGGGGAGTAAAGCGCAGCCGGCGCGTAAGTTTCACAACCTTACCGCCATCTTTGAGACGACTGTCTAGATAATGTGGGACCCCCAATGTCTGACAACTCTATGGGCCTTCACGGCCTGGTACAGGACGTACAGGGATAGCTACGTTGTGATCCGCGTTTCATGATCACCATGGTCTCGGGTAGTAGTTAAAGAATCAATGGAAATAATCCTAGCCAAGTGCCACATAAGCAGGCTCTGGGGCAGATGGATGCCACACAATGCTACTGGCGGGCAACATAACCGCCGTGACGTCATGAGGCATCACTGCTGTC